TGTGTGTGTGTGTGTGTGTGTGTACCTACTTAACCATATTTTGGGGACAAATTTGTACCCAAAAGTGAGCAAAACCTGACAAAATCACCAAAAACCTCGATTTGGGGACGTCCTCATTTGTAAAACTGGTATAAAAATAAAGTAAACAAAGTTTTTTTGAAATTGTAAAAATTCAGAAAGTATTCTGTGAGGGGTAGGGGTGGGTTTAGGTTAAAAAGTGTATAACTATCTGTATATAAAAACAATAGACGTCTATGTAATGTGCCCATTTAGATAGCTAAGTAAACGTGTGTGTGTGTGTGTGTGTGTGTGTGTTAAAATCAGAAGGTAATCTCTCCGCCTCATGAACCTCTCCAATTCTTTCAAAGAAGAAAAATATATATATTACTCACAACATACATTAAATAAGACTTTGGTGTCGCAGGCCCCAGCATCCAAAGTTACACATAAGCTTCCCAAAAGGCCTCTGATCAATAATTCTCCTCTTCCAAGACATATTTCCCCCCACCCTTGTAGAAATTGCCTATTTCTGAAGCTGCGTTTCTTGACAAACCACTCAGGGCCCTTCTTATGCACCCTCAGTAATATTGGCAGACAGAATTTCCTACGAAAGCGCGCTCCATCTCTCTCACTCGGCAAACTGGGTTACGTGTGACTGATGCAGATGAGCTCGACAGGCTGATCTATTGCAGCAATATGCCCAAGGCGAGAGAGCCCTGATCACCAGTAATGATTCAATCATTTAGCCACCACCACTTACTGTATCTACTGTAATTTCAAACTCGTTAGCTGCGCTTCGCTAGGTGTGTTAAGAGTCAGAGGAGGCTCGTTGTTGTGTTGTGGAATCGCCTACAAAAAGAAAAGGCAAGGGGAAGCGGGCGACATACACCCTCAGTCTATTAGCGCTACATGTGCACATGTTTCCCAGGCAAACAGAGCCCAAACGAACACTACGGGCGGACCCTAACCCGATGTAAATGACACACTTATAATGCGCACGCGGCGGGATGGAAGCGATCAGTCTTTCCAAAGCCTAGATTTGATTTGGTGCCTCTCGTGTTTTTTGGATGAAGGAAATGAGTGATGAGTGTTGGAGAAGAATCCGGAACTTCCCAACTTAAGGAACTCATAAGCACAACTAATGTGGGAATCACTCAAATTCTCCCTTTATGCTGACACCCGAATCAAGCGCGCGTATTACCCTGTCTGATGTGTTTATGATGCAATACCATTTACACTTGCTCCAAATCTAATCGCAGCTGTGATTGTCCTATATTAAGCCAGCCCAGACAATTACAGTGCAGGCTTGGAATCCATTAGAAACCAATAGGAAAGCTTTGTTTCAAAAGGGTTACTTACGTTTCAGATCTATAGCATCAGGCCGTTAGTAGACCTCGGCCAAATCCAGGCTTCTTCGTGCCTCTGAGTGGAGTAAACAATTAGGGAAATTGAAATGGCGCACATGCAGACAGTCACAGATTTCCTGCTGTGGGCGCAGATTATCTGATCTCAATAAGATCTCGCTTCTCTCTGTAGGAGGACTCTGTAACATTCACTTGTACTGCACAGAAAGGGATCACAGTGTTTACTGTAATAATATCCAATGCATTATGCATTCTAATCCAATATACTGGTTTTTCAGTTCTTAAAAAAAACACATCCTCAGTATACTTCAATCATTGCATTTGTCTTCAGCATATTCTCTTAAATAACTAAGAATCATAGCAAAATAAATTGAACTGAACTGATTCAGATTTCATCATTTAGTAAAGAAAGAAAAATTATTTTATGAAGTGGTTTTAGAGCAAATATGTATCATCCCATCTAATCATAAGAGCACTGACAAATTCAGGTTGTCTGTTGTTCTGCCTAATGAAGACATCAGTTTTACAACCTACCCTGTGTGTGTGTGTGTGTGTGTGTGTGCGTGTGCGTGTGTGTAAGAGTGTGCGTGTGTGTAAGAGTGTGGGTGAGTGTGTGACCAAAACTGACAGACATGTATTTCCTGTATTCACATTAAAATAATCCATTGTACACCCGTGAAAGAATATTAGGGAATAAAAAACAGCAACACTTTATCTTAAAGAACACATTCACTATTAACTAGTTGCTTACTAGCAAGCGTTTTACTAGCATAATGGCTGTTTATCAGTACCTATAAAGCAAATATGAGTGCCTTATTCTGCCTGACCATAGTTTAGATCACTAACTACTAGAACAACTACCACAATTACTATTAATAAGCAGCACATTTGGAGTTTATTGAGGGAACATCCATTTGTTTTAGAATATAGTCTCACCAGTAATAACCTTTTTTTTATTTTTTTTATCAGTCACACTTTAGTTTGGGGACCAATTCTCATTATTAACTCTTGTCTTTTGCCTCAATTTTAATCCTAATTTGCTGCTTATTAATAGTTAGTAAGGTAGTTGTTAAGTTTAGGTATGGTGTGGATTAAGGAATCTAAAATATGGTCATGCAGAATAAGATGTTAATATGTGCTTTATTAGCACTATTAAACAGCCAATATGCATGCTAATACGCAACTAGTTAAACTAAATTGTTACTGAAAAATTGTACATAATATTTTTATATTGATGTGAATTGGTTGTCAATTGTTGTTGTTTTTGTTTTTTGACTCCTTGTGCAAACAAAAATATCACTGGATTACAATTAATGGCAAAATTAATGTTTGGAAATATAAACTGATATTTCCTACTGACACACTACAGCAAAAGATAGAAATAATGGACTTAAAACCATTTTTTTGTTGGTGGAAATACTAGTGGCCTAAGACTTCTGCACAGTGGTGTGTATATATAGAATCTAGTCATGCAGAATAAGGCATTAGTGTGTGTTTTATAAGCACCAGTAAATAGTCAATATATTAGTAATGTGCATGCTAATAAATACAGTTAATAGTGGATATTTTTCCTAATTGAAATTGTTAAAAAAAAAAAAACTACAATATATTAAAACAAAATTTTCATTCCTGTCAAAAGAAACTCTGAGAAAAAAAAAGAAAGCGTTTTTCATTCTCTCACCTCTCTGCGGATGTTTGGCACAGTGAGTTTCGGCTGTTCCTGTAGTGATGCTCTATGATGGACACAGACGTAAAGTTCTTTGGAAGTTCATTGTAATTTAACAGTCTGAATGAATTGAAGTTAACTGGCTCTCTCGCTCTCCTGCCGCTCTTCGTGGATGCAGAGGAGGCAGAGAGCGTGTGGTTGAACAGACTGATCTCTCTGCGTCAGGAGAGGCTCATGGGGAGTCCAGTGTCCTGACCAGATCCAGCTTCCTCAGACCTCCAAACCCGTGTGCATGAGGATTTACTGAGTTTAGCCTCTAATTCCAGCAGCTCTCAAAAGGAGCCAGTGCTCCACCTGCTGGTTTCTATGAGAAATCTGATCCCGAATTAAATTTCAGCATGTGAGTATTCTGAATCTTTGATTTGACTTCATACTAACTGATAATGGTAGCATTACGGTTTTAGAAGTAATTTGCAAAATGTGTCTTTTTTTCAAGCTTGAGTAGACATCCTTCTCATCCACATGAATGATAATTGTATTTGGTGTGTGTTGGGTTTTGTTGTTGTTGTTTCCTTTTTCAAAATAAATGATCGATGATCAAACTTAGTAGTCATAAACTTTTTATAGTAAAGAATGGCTACGCGAAAATCTTTTGAGGAATCACTGTACAGTTTCTGTTTGTCATTTTTAATGTCTACAGTGTTTTCATAATCATTCTTTAGTAAGTGAGGTTGAGGAAGGTGAAGTGAGATGAACATTTCCTTGTCAGAGAGCCGAGAAAAGACAGCCATGAACTCATTACATGTTTTGGGGGGTTTTCATCACAAACAGCCTTCTTTATTAGTAATCAAGTCTACAGCAGACTACAAACAGATGTATTTTACCTCTCTTAAAAAGTATATTCAGGGCCATTTCTATATACATACAATTCATATAATACAGTTGAGGTGATTGCAGTTGCATTTGATTAGGATAACGATACATTGCAAAAAATGCTTTTCTTACTTAGAGTTTGTGTCTTGTTTCTAGTCCAAATATCTAAAAATGTAATTAAATCAAGAAGCATTTTCTAGACAAGTAAAAATTCTTGTCTTGTTTTCAGAAAAAATAAGTCAAAATTAAGTGAGTTTTTCCTTAAAACAAGCAAAATAATCTTGTTTTCTGTTTGAAATAAGATTATTTTGCTTACCTCTGTGTGGTAATATATATATATATATATTCTAACAAAACTAGACTCAGGAACTTTCACAGAAACAGAACACCATGCAATTAAACAATAAATCTACAAAACTGGAGAAGAGATCACGAAGCAAGGGCACAGAAGCCTTCCTCTCCCCTTTCCCTTTCCTTCTCCACCAGCTTCAGGTCACTCCAAGTCCACTCAGAATGGCAAAAGTACACTGAGACTGCTTATTTACCACATATAGTGTGTCTTGTTTTTCACTTTCATATTTAGTATCGTTTCAAACATCTCAGTGCAATTGGTAAAATGGTCTCAACTTCACAGCTGTTATGTATAGTATGATAAAAGTTCAAAATTGTCTCCTTCAGGGTCTCTGGAAAGAACAACTTTCTTCCTCCACTTAAGGTTTGACCCCTTGGGTCACAGGATACTGTCCAACCAAAATTTTACCAAATGTTTTACAACTTAGATTTGAAGATTTCGTTGTTCTGGTCTGGTTATTTAAGGGAAACTGGCAAAATAGTCATTGGGAATCTGTAAGCAGAAAAGCCAGCACACTGTTGTGTGAGTCTCTGGTTTTCTGCATTCAGAACTCTCACATGCTGCTGTGGGTCTCTCTGCTGTCAGGTGTGCATCTTTCACTCCCAGATTTATCTTTGAGCAATTGCTGTTATGTATTTGTCATTTCTGAATTGGCTTCTCGTTGTTTAATTATATACACTGAACAAAATTATAAACGCAACACTTTTGTTTTTGTCCCCATTTTTCATGAGCTGATCTCAAAGATCTAAGACTTTTTCTTTGTACACAAAAAGCCTATTTCTCTCAAATATTGTTCACAAATCTGTCTAAATCTGTGTTAGTGAGCACTTCTCCTTTGCCGAGATAATCCATCCACCTCACAGGTGTGGCATATCAAGATGCTGATTAGACAGCATGATTATTGCACAGGTGTGCCTTAGGCTGGCCACAATAAAAGGCCACTCTAAAATGTGCAGTTTTACTGTATTGGGGGGTCCGAAAACCAGTCAGTATCTGGTGTGACCACCATTTGCCTCACGCAGTGCAACACATCTCCTTCGCATAGAGTTGATCAGGTTGTTGATTGTGGCCTGTGGAATGTTGGTCCACTCCTCTTCAATGGCTGTGCGAAGTTGCTGGATATTGGCAGGAACTGGAACACGCTGTCTACTAGCATAATGGCTGTTTATCAGTACCTATAAAGCAAATATGAGTGCCTTATTCTGCCTGACCATAGTTTAGATCACTAACTACTAGAACAACTACCACAATTACTATTAATAAGCAGCACATTTGGAGTTTATTGAGGGAACATCCATTTGTTTTAGAATATAGTCTCACCAGTAATAACCTTTTTTTTATTTTTTTTATCAGTCACACTTTAGTTTGGGGACCAATTCTCATTATTAACTCTTGTCTTTTGCCTCAATTTTAATCCTAATTTGCTGCTTATTAATAGTTAGTAAGGTAGTTGTTAAGTTTAGGTATGGTGTGGATTAAGGAATCTAAAATATGGTCATGCAGAATAAGATGTTAATATGTGCTTTATTAGCACTATTAAACAGCCAATATGCATGCTAATACGCAACTAGTTAAACTAAATTGTTACTGAAAAATTGTACATAATATTTTTATATTGATGTGAATTGGTTGTCAATTGTTGTTGTTTTTGTTTTTTGACTCCTTGTGCAAACAAAAATATCACTGGATTACAATTAATGGCAAAATTAATGTTTGGAAATATAAACTGATATTTCCTACTGACACACTACAGCAAAAGATAGAAATAATGGACTTAAAACCATTTTTTTGTTGGTGGAAATACTAGTGGCCTAAGACTTCTGCACAGTGGTGTGTATATATAGAATCTAGTCATGCAGAATAAGGCATTAGTGTGTGTTTTATAAGCACCAGTAAATAGTCAATATATTAGTAATGTGCATGCTAATAAATACAGTTAATAGTGGATATTTTTCCTAATTGAAATTGTTAAAAAAAAAAAAACTACAATATATTAAAACAAAATTTTCATTCCTGTCAAAAGAAACTCTGAGAAAAAAAAAGAAAGCGTTTTTCATTCTCTCACCTCTCTGCGGATGTTTGGCACAGTGAGTTTCGGCTGTTCCTGTAGTGATGCTCTATGATGGACACAGACGTAAAGTTCTTTGGAAGTTCATTGTAATTTAACAGTCTGAATGAATTGAAGTTAACTGGCTCTCTCGCTCTCCTGCCGCTCTTCGTGGATGCAGAGGAGGCAGAGAGCGTGTGGTTGAACAGACTGATCACTCTGCGTCAGGAGAGGCTCATGGGGAGTCCAGTGTCCTGACCAGATCCAGCTTCCTCAGACCTCCAAACCCGTGTGCATGTGGATTTACTGAGTTTAGCCTCTAATTCCAGCAGCTCTCAAAAGGAGCCAGTGCTCCACCTGCTGGTTTCTATGAGAAATCTGATCCCGAATTAAATTTCAGCATGTGAGTATTCTGAATCTTTGATTTGACTTCATACTAACTGATAATGGTAGCATTACGGTTTTAGAAGTAATTTGCAAAATGTGTCTTTTTTTCAAGCTTGAGTAGACATCCTTCTCATCCACATGAATGATAATTGTATTTGGTGTGTGTTGGGTTTTGTTGTTGTTGTTTCCTTTTTCAAAATAAATGATCGATGATCAAACTTAGTAGTCATAAACTTTTTATAGTAAAGAATGGCTACGCGAAAATCTTTTGAGGAATCACTGTACAGTTTCTGTTTGTCATTTTTAATGTCTACAGTGTTTTCATAATCATTCTTTAGTAAGTGAGGTTGAGGAAGGTGAAGTGAGATGAACATTTCCTTGTCAGAGAGCCGAGAAAAGACAGCCATGAACTCATTACATGTTTTGGGGGGTTTTCATCACAAACAGCCTTCTTTATTAGTAATCAAGTCTACAGCAGACTACAAACAGATTTATTTTACCTCTCTTAAAAAGTATATTCAGGGCCATTTCTATATACATACAATTCATATAATACAGTTGAGGTGATTGCAGTTGCATTTGATTAGGATAACGATACATTGCAAAAAATGCTTTTCTTACTTAGAGTTTTTGTCTTGTTTCTAGTCCAAATATCTAAAAATGTAATTAAATCAAGAAGCATTTTCTAGACAAGTAAAAATTCTTGTCTTGTTTTCAGAAAAAATAAGTCAAAATTAAGTGAGTTTTTCCTTAAAACAAGCAAAATAATCTTGTTTTCTGTTTGAAATAAGATTATTTTGCTTACCTCTGTGTGGTTATATATATATATATATATTCTAACAAAACTAGACTCAGGAACTTTCACAGAAACAGAACACCATGCAATTAAACAATAAATCTACAAAACTGGAGAAGAGATCACGAAGCAAGGGAACAGAAGCCTTCCTCTCCCCTTTCCCTTTCCTTCTCCACCAGCTTCAGGTCACTCCAAGTCCACTCAGAATGGCAAAAGTACACTGAGACTGCTTATTTACCACATATAGTGTGTCTTGTTTTTCACTTTCATATTTAGTATCGTTTCAAACATCTCAGTGCAATTGGTAAAGTGGTCTCAACTTCACAGCTGTTATGTATAGTATGATAAAAGTTCAAAATTGTCTCCCTCAGGGTCTCTGGAAAGAACAACTTTCTTCCTCCACTTAAGGTTTGACCCCTTGGGTCACAGGATACTGTCCAACCAAAATTTTACCAAATGTTTTACAACTTAGATTTGAAGATTTCGTTGTTCTGGTCTGGTTATTTAAGGGAAACTGGCAAAATAGTCATTGGGAATCTGTAAGCAGAAAAGCCAGCACACTGTTGTGTGAGTCTCTGGTTTTCTGCATTCAGAACTCTCACATGCTGCTGTGGGTCTCTCTGCTGTCAGGTGTGCATCTTTCACTCCCAGATTTATCTTTGAGCAATTGCTGTTATGTATTTGTCATTTCTGAATTGGCTTCTCGTTGTTTAATTATATACACTGAACAAAATTATAAACGCAACACTTTTGTTTTTGTCCCCATTTTTCATGAGCTGATCTCAAAGATCTAAGACTTTTTCTTTGTACACAAAA